GACCATAATATCCTATTAGAGCATTTAGAGCATGCTCTAGGTATTACAGGTACTGCTTTGCAGTGGTTTTTGTATCATATCTATTTAATAGACTCCAATTTGTTCATGTAAATGGAGAATCTTCTTCACACACTGAGGTTAATTATGGAGTTCCACAGGGTTCAGTGCTAGGACCAATTCAGTTTACATTGTACATGCTTCCCTTAGGCACCATCATCAGAAGACATAGTATACATTTACACTGCTATGCAGATGACACTCAACTTTGTCTATGATCCATGAAGCCAAAGAACACACACCAATTAGTTAAACTGCAGGAATGTCTTAAACACAAAAAGACCTAAGAGCTAACTTTCTCCTTCTAAATTCGGATAACACTGAGGTTATTGTAGTCTGCCTTGAAAATATAGTATCTACCCAATATGTAGGACTGCATTCTTCCTTCTGTGCATTATCTCTAAAATTAGAAATATCCTGTCTCAGAGTGACACTGAAAAACTAGTTCGTGTACTTATCACTTCTAGGCTGGACTACTGTAATTCAATATTATCAGAATGTCCTAAAAACTCCCTGAAAATATGGAACTTGTCATGACCTTTGATCAAAGGCCATGACAATTTGCATATTATTGACAAAGGAACGGACCACACAGCCCATTGTTCATTCAGTGGGCTCGTTTCAATCACTGTGCAAATGTACGCAGGTTGGAGAAACTTGCAGTCAGCTAAGACTAAAGAAGTCACTTGGATGAGTGATGAAACACTTCTCCCACGGAAAACATCCAGATAAACAGAACCATCCTTTTGGGGTAGTTCATGAATTTATTACTTCTAGCCTGGACTACTATAATTCATTATTATCAGGATGTCCTAAAAACCCCTGAAAAGCCATTAGTTAATCCAAAATGCTGCAGCAAGAGTACTGACAAGGACTAGACAGAGAGAGCAGATTTCTCATACATTGGCTTCCCTTCATTGGCTGTTAAATTCCCTGTTAAATCCAGGGATTTAATTTGGATTTCAATCCATAATTGAATTCAAAATGCTGTTCCTCACATACAAGGTCTTGAATAATCAGTCCCCATCTTAGAGCACTTTGCTCTCGCACTGCAGGCTTACTTGCTGTTCCTAGAGTATTTAAAAATAGAATGGGAGGCAGAGCCTTCAGTTTTCAGTTCCCGCTTTTATGGAACCAGTTTCCAGTTTGGATTCAAGAAACAGACACTTTCTCTTAGATTAGGCTTAAAACTTTCCTTTTTGCTCAAGC